ATGTTAAAAAGAGACTGAGAATCTGGAGGGTAAAATGCCGGGTCCCTTCTCGAGCCCTTCGAACCCTCACGTTGGGGACCCGGTCAGGGTCTGTCCCGCCGCTCACCTACGTCCCAGCGGCGCCGGCGCCAGCGCACCCTGTCACCGCTGCGGTGGAGCTGCGGGAACGGAGGCCCCTGGGGGTGAGCTATTGAACAGGGAAGTTCACACAGATACCCGTGTACTTGCAAATATAAAGAAACACACGGCAGGAATCATGGTTCCCGCAGAGCTGGGTCTCCTCGGGGCTCAGGCTCGGAGGCCCGTCACTGCCTGGACTCTAAGTAGCCAAAATGTTTATCTGCTAACCCGTCTTCATTAAAAATCAGCTCACCAAAATTTGAATTAAATAAAAATAAAACACTTTGGTTTTAAGAGCAAACCCGAGAAACATTTAAAACCAGTTGAACTCAAAGGAACTCCAATGTCCACAACGTTTCTGTAACTGCTTACAAAGGGAACTTCTGCAAAATTCAGTCTATTTAAAAATGTGGCCGGGACTCACGTAAAAACCAAAAGAAAGACACTGGAAGCCCAGGCCCGAGTTAAGTGCTGTCGCTTCTGGTAGGCGCCTTCGCTGGAACTCCGGTTAAACTTTAAAGCCCCCGGGTCCTGCCCCTGTCACCAGTCTCGTTCCAGAGTTTTCTACCTTCAGTCTTTCCCAAATGCGAAATGCGCTCGCAATTGAAACTGGGAGCCCTGAGTGGGGGAGGCAGAGAGGACTGTAATAAAAGTGACTGAATTGGATGAGAACGGTTTATGCACCTTCTCGGTGGCAATTTAAAATTCACAAGTGTTTAGCAGCCATTTACAACGAAGAATGAAAGGGGGGAAAATGATCACCCACTTCCTGAATTCTGATGCCTCCGCCCCGGCGCTGCCAGGCCCTGTCCCCGTCTCCCCCCAGGACACACAGGTTCACAGCTCACAGTTACAGGGAGAGGAATCACACACTTAGCGGCGAAGTCTCACAATCCTTACAATGTCCCTACCGACCCTAGTTTAACTAGCTTAGGTTCCTCTCCCTCCCCCAACTGAAATACATAAAAACAAACAAAAACAGAGCCCAAACGCTTCCAGAGGAGACTGACCTTTAGAAAATCATTTACTTCGATTTACCTGGGGGGAAAAAGTGTAAAAATCCATTCCCACACAACTCCTCCTGCCCTGGTTAAAATTCTCACGAGCCTTCTGGGGTCACGTCTGTCGGAAGAAATTCTCCTTGTGAGCGAAAGGGAGCGAGGCTCGATATCAGAGCTCCTGCCGCGGCCGAACCCGCGGCCGCGCGACTCGCTGATGACAGATCGGCGCTGATAACCCCGCGACGTTTATTTCCAGCCCCTTTGCCGGCGACGGACCATATCAGTTTGTACACAGTTGTGATAACCCATTCGGAGGGAGCGAAGAAGGGGTGTGTATGTGGGGGTGGCTGGGAAGCGATATGTCGCGCTGGGTCCAGAGGTGACCCCCCCTCTTTCTAACGACGTTTCTGAAACTTACCCGAAATTCTCCAGGGAAATCTGAGAGCAAACGGGACACCCAAACTCGGAAAGCATTTGCGTGCGCTACTGGCATGGAAGCCTTTTCCCACCCTGTGCTCCTCCTTTACTAACACACACCAAGACCCCGAATTAAAAGTCCCAAAGGCTAGCTGAGAAGTGCCGACGTGAACGTCCCGAAACTTCCTAAGAATTTAATATATTTCTAAAAATCAGGGCACAGACGGGGAGCTGGGCACTCGTGTTCCTTCTTTCCCACATCAAGGAAGCCTCAAACCTGAGGGCCACCACGACCCTGTGAACTCCAGGGTCCAGAAAAGAGGTCGGTCGGGGAAAGTTTAAGGTCGATCACACGCGAATGTAGAGCAAGAAGCTCATTTGACGTGGAGGGAGGATCCGGGAAGGCCAGCGGAGCAAAACCTTCCCCCCCGCCCCGCCATCATTCTGGGGGCGCGTTGACCCGGGAGCTGGCGCCTCCCTCCCACAGCGGTGGCAGCGTGGAGCTGTGCACGGCCAGTTCCTCCCGTGCCAATACTCCCCTACCCCGTGAATGCGCGCGTAACTAGGGGCGGAGGAAAGTGCTCCGCCTAAGGTTGGCTGTGGGTCGCCTGCTAGGTCTGGAGTTCGGACACGTCCACCCCTCCCCCCCGGCGTCCCAGGGCTCGGCGCCCCCTGGATGCACTCGCCCCCACTCCCAGGACTGTGCTTGCTGCTGAGCTCACACCCTCAGGCTGCGTAGCGCTCATTGTCTGCTGGGGCGGCGCGCTCCCCTCCCCCTGCTGCCCCCTGTCTCCTCCCCACCCTCTTTTTTCTCCTCCCCTTGCTCCCTCCCTCCTCCTCCTCCTCTTCACCTCCAGCGCCCAGCTGCTGGCTGAGCGCAGTTCCGACCCACAGCCTGGCACCCTTCGGCGTGCGCTGTTTGTTTAGGGCTCGGTGAGTCCAATCAGGAGCGCAGGCTGCAGTTTTCCGGCAGAGCAGTAAGAGGCGCCTCCTCTCTCCTTTTTATTCACCAGCAGCGCCGCGCAGAACCCGGACTCGCGCTCGCCTGTCGGCGCCCTCGGCCTCTCTCCGCGCTCGGGAGCACCCTCCGCCGCGGCCGTTCTCCATGCTCAGCTCCCACCCGAGGTTCGGCTGCTTTTTCTGTTCGTGTTCTGCTTTTTCCTTCCCTCTACCTCCTACCCGTCGCGGGCCCGGGCTTCGACTCTCCCGGCCGCGGCTTTGCGGCCCGCGGTCGGCTCCGAGGGTGTCTCCCTCCTCCACTCCCGGCTGTAGCGGCTCCTAGGTTCCCGGGACACCGCGTACCAACTTCTGGTGTCTTTTCCTCTCTCTCCCCCCGAAGCGCTTATCTGCGCGCAGCCTTATCTCCGAGTTATCTCGGCGCGAAGGGGCGGGAGCCCCAGTCGGGCGGGCAGCGAGACTTCTCTCTTGCTATCTAGCCCGGGTCTGTGTGTGAGCATTCACTTTAGTATGGCTATTTCCGAGGAGCCCCAGCCTTTGGGAAGGCAGCCCGGAGGAGGCCAGCCAGGCTGCACGAGTCTTCCTCCGCCATCCCGTCCTTGTCTCCCTGTCATTCTTCCTGCTCTCTCCTTTGGGGTGGCTTCTTCTCCGGGGCGGTCTCACGTCCCCCCCTCCTCTTCTCTGAACTCCGCTCCACCCCGGTACGTCCGATTCCGGAACGGTCTCGCCTTTCCGCGGCTGGGGAAGACCGCGGGATGGGACGGGTGGCCCGGCGGGCGAGAGCGCACGCGCCGGTGGTTGGAACGCGAGCCGCGTGTAAGGTGTGCGGTGCAGCCCCGGGCGCGCGGGTTGGGCGTGAGACTCGGCCCCTCGGGCGTCCGGCACTGCCTGTGCCCGGAAGGTCCAAGACTGCCGTCCCCGCCCCAGGCCCCACCTTCTCAGGGCTGAGTTGCATTTTTCTCTGGGGCTTGCGTTCCGTCTAGTCAGCGCAGTCCGGGGAGCTCTGGGAAAGCCACTGGTAGAGAAGTGGGTGGTTTTGTTTTCGGAACAGGTTGCACCCTTGCGCTAATGGTTTTCAAGC